GTCTCTCTCTTCCAAGTCTGTTTTTTGTAAACAACATATTGTTGCATTCCAGTTTCTAATCCATTCTGCTAGTTGCTTCCATTGTATGGGTGCGTTCATCCCATCCAAACCCACAATCATGATTACTAACCATGCATTTCCCTCCATCCTGTTTTTGTTCATCCTTCTCTCTCTCTCTCTCTCTCTCTCTCTCTTTGTCTCTCTCTCTCTCTCTCTGTCTCTCTCTTTCTCTCTCTGTCTCTCTCTTTCTCTCTCTCCCTGGTCCCTCCTCTAAGATCTGTTTTGCTTCTGACCTCTACCTTCTTTTATCTGCCCTCTCTTTTGTCAAACCCCTCCCCCCCTTTTTTATCTACTTCTCTGGTAGGATAAATATCTATTACCAATTGTATGTGTGTGTATGTATATGTTTGTATGTATATCTATATATGTGTGTATATGTACATATACACACATGCAAACATATACACGTTTGTATTTCCTTTTTGAACCAATTTAGATGCAAGTAAGGTTAAAGTGTTGTCTGCCTCCCCACCCCCTACACTGTAAAAGCTCTTTCTTGCGTGCCTCTTTTAGGTGACATAATTTTTCTCGTTCTTCATCTCCCCCCTCTCTTCTCTAGCACATTCTTCTTTGTTCCCTTATCATTTTTTAAAGATATCATCCCAACATATCGACTCTTACTCTCTTTTTCTATGTAAAATCTTTCTAATTCCTCTGATAAGTTCTTAGAAGATACATGTATCTTTTTCCCATACAGAAAGGTACACAGTTTAACCTTATTAAGTCCCTTATGACTTCTCTTTCATGTTTACCTTTTCATGTTTTTCTTGAGTCTTGTATTTTAAAGTTAAATTTTCTATTCTGCTCTGGTCTTTTCATCAGAAATGCTTAAAGATCCTCCATTTCATTTAATCATTTTTTTCCCTTAAAGGATTATGCAAAGTTTTGCTGGGTAGGTTATTCTTGATTGTAATCCCAGCCCTTTTGCTTTCTGGAATATCATATTCTAATTCCTCTGATCCTTTAACACGGTAGCTGCTAAATCTTTTCTTATCCTGACTGTGATTCCATAATATTTGTATGGTTTCTTTCTGGCTACTTTAATTATTTTCTCTTTGATCTGGGAGCTCTGGAATTTGGCCATAATATTCCTAGGAATTTTCATTTGGGGATCTTTTTTAAGTGATGCTCAATAGATTCTTTCAATTTTTATTTTACCCTCTGATTCTAGAATATTGGGGCAGTTTTCCTCGATAATTTCTTGAAACATAATGTGTATGCTCTTTCTTTGATTATGGCTTTCACACCCAAAATTCCAATAATTCTTATATTATCTCTCCTCAGTTTATTTTCCAGGTCACTTATTTTTCCAATGAGATATTTGACATTTTCTTCTGTTTTTTTAAAAATTCTTTGACTTTGTTTTATTGTTTCTTGATGTCTCATGGATCCATTATCTCCCAGGTGCCCATTTCTAATTTTTAAGGAATTATTTTTTTCAGTGAATTTTTGTACCTTTTTTTCATTTGGCAAATTCTGTTTCTGTGGTGTTATTTACTCCATTATTTTTTGTGCCTTTATTACCCAACTCTTAATTGTCTTTTAATAATTTTCTTTCTTTGGTTTCATTTCTTTACTTAATTTCTCCTCTACCACTCTTATTTGATTTTTAAAATAATTTTTCATTTTTCAAGGAATTCTTGTTGGCCTTGTATCCAATTTACATTTTACTTTGAAGTTTTGCTTGTGGATGTTTTCACTTAATTTTCTTCTTCTAAATTTGTGTCTTGATCTTCCCTATCATCATAGTAGTTTTTTATGATCACATTATTTTTTGTTGTTTACCCATTTTCCACCTATTTCTTGATCTGGAGCTTTACGTTAAAGTTGGGCTTTGTTCCTAGCATGAGGTGGAGGGAAGGGCTCTATCTCAAACTTCAGACATTTTTGCATTATTGTTTTCAGAGCTAGTTCTGGGGTTTTGGAAGTTTTTGGTGCTTCCAAGGTGGTGTAATCTGGGGAGAGGTGTGGTTACTGTTCTCTTGCTCTGCATTCTGGTCTTTACCCAGGAAGTACACCTGATCCCTTGGGATCAGGCAATCAAGCAATTAATATTTGTTTCTCAGGGACCCTCTTCCTTTGGGAGTGGAAAAGATACTGTTCCTTAGGGTCTCTAATGCCTTGGGGCACAAAATGATACTGCCCAAAGGGCTTCTACTCCCTTTTGACCAAAAGTGTTCCTCTCTGCCTTTGAACTATGGCTCAGAAGTGGATATAGGCAATGGAGTTGCCAAAAAGCAGCTGGTCTTGTGTCTAGTGCCAGAACAAGGGTACCTTGTAATCTCTTTCTGACCAGTTGCCAGGTCTCTTTATCATCTCTGGCTTGAGAGCTCCTAAAGAGGCTACTGCTTCTGTCTCCACCACCTGATCCCACCACTGGTGTTTCATTTACATGGACTCTGGGTCAGGCTCCTCCCCTGTGTCACTTTCTTTCTGACCTCGTATGTTGTCTTTGGCTGGATGATTGTCTCATTCTGACCTTTGATTGACTCTGCCACTCCAGAATTTGATTTGAAGCATTATTTTAATGTTCTTTGGAGGGGAATGTTGGGAGAACTTGACTGAGTTCTTCTCTACTCTGCCATCTTGGCTCCATCCTTGGAAGTCAAATATAAATGTCTTTTCTTTAAGTGAATTAGCTGCTCAGATTAATGATGGAAGTTAGCAGGATCAATAGAATATCCTGAACTTGGGGTGTATCGAGGATTGTGATTCTAAATTTGGGGGTAGCCGAGGGTGCTATATTCTAAAATTACCTGTGTCTGGTTATTCTCAATGCTGTTATAAAGTACCATAGCTTTTCCCTCATAACACTTGAGAGTACCAGCCACCACTAAATATTTAATATTTTGTTCCTAAGAGATCCAGCCTGTGGTATAACCCTGCCAAATGTTCCTGCTGATCTTATTCTACCTTGCTCTGAGGATTTCAACTGACATATACCATGAAAAAGACAAAGGGTCCATGTCATGTCTCTCCTTCCCTCCGATGTCATACTTGAAGAGGTACTATGGAGTGGAGGGGGGAGGAGAAGTCCATTCCTGTAGATAGAACCAGATAAATATATTATCTAAGTGAGGTTCCCACTACATCAGGAAATGGCCTAAATTTACTATTGGGTCACTTTTTTTTTTAAATTAGACTGGTTCCATTATTTGTTAAAAAAAAAACCCATAAATAGCAATTTGAATCAATACCAATTTTCAATCTTTTCTCCAGGAAAATGTGGGGCCTCTCTTGTCTGGGTCCCTTCAGACCACGTTGTTTTGGGGGGGAAATGGGAAATTTAAAATAATTCAAAATCTTTACTACATGTGAGTTTTAGTTTAAAATGGTATTCCTAGATTTATTCAAGCACAGTAACACAGTCTAGAGTTTTCCATGGATTACAAAGTCAGTGTGAACCTCCAGTGCAACCTGATAGCCAGAAATGATAGTGAATGAATGAATGAAAAGAGCATTTATTAAGCACTTTTTATATGCCAGGCACTGTGCTAAGTGTTGGAGTTATAAATAGAAAAGTATATAAGAGTTCCTGTAATAAAGAAGTTTAAACGGGGAGTAGTAGTGGTCAGGGAAGGGAGTTTGGTCTGGGGATCCATAAGGATGGTGGGATCCACAGGGATCCATAATAAAATTGATTGACATACTGTTTCCAAAAAAGGAATGATACTGTTGACTTGATTACTATGCCTCAAGCAAGATGGAGAAAATGTATACAGAGCAGAGGAAGGATTTTAACCCATGGAGCCAAGATAGAGGGAAACATAACTAGGTTATATAGCTGTATGGCAATTTCAAAAATGCTCTTATATCATTGGCTAGGTGAGTTTACACTCATGGACTTACAAATCAAGACAGCTCAGGTATGGGTTAAATTTGATTATCTTAGAGTTCCTTTTCAGCTCTTAGAGTTTGCAATATGATAATATCATTGGAGCTGATTATTTTCTCCTAGGTGCTATATTGCTATTTGGGTAATATCCACTGGTTGAGCACTGATGCTTGATTATTGTAACATAGGTCAAATGATTAGGATATTTTTTTTCACATGTGGAAAATAAGAAAAGTAGGTATACAGCACACATTTGAGTTGTTCATGCATTTAAATTCCAAAAGGTTTTTTAAATATTACAATAATATAAACTATAGGTCATTCTCTAGTTTCTAAATATAAACAGCATTACATATAAGCAAGGTGATATTTTAAAGAAAGAGAAACTCCTAGGTAAAAGTTAAATGTCTTTGTTACTAAATTCTAATGGTATCCAGATTCTGGATTTATTCTGTTTCCCACAAGCCCCTTACCATTTGATCCAGTCTCTTCTGACTACTTACCAGGTGTATTCAGTTGTCTTCTTAATGTCATACCCTTAACTCCGAATACTTCCTCTTCTAATCACCTCCATGTCAAGGAGAAACTGCTTTTGATTTCTCCTAGTAAAGACTGTATTTGGTTTATTCTGAGCTTTTTGCCCCTTCAGCTCTCTCTGCCTCATTACTAGTAAAAAATGACTTCTCAAAATGGAACAATGGATTTCTAATTCATTCATTTAGTATCCCTACCCTCCCTGCCTATGCTGGATGAGTAGCATTAACCTTGAATGGATTTGTTTGCTAACCTCTGTGACTTTAGAATTTTATAGTCTTCTATATAACAACTATACGAGGAGCCACATCTTGCCTATTCCCCTCCCCCCACCTCTCCTCACCCACCCTCTTTCTCAGCACTTTAAACCCATTCAGTGCAACAGAAGAGAATTGTGATACTGTCCTTTTCTTTTCATCCCAATCTTTACCTTGGGTTAGGGTAGAAGTTGCGTGGGAACTGCTGAATAAGGCCATTTTTCTTTCTACTTTGTTTTGATATATACATATATATATATATATATATATATATATATGTATATAACAATACACTTCTCTATCTTTCATTTTAGATGCCCACTATCTCACCTGCCGTATCCAGGAGTGTTCAGAAACCACCAAGAGTGGGCCCTTCGCACGCTCCATTGACATCAGTTCATTGGTGGTCCAGGATGAATATGTTTTCATTCAGGTAAGTACATGACATTTGATGAGTGATACATGGAGGGGGAGGTGCCTACCAACTGGAATTCCCTGGTAAGGCTCCTCTCATGGTTATGGAGAGAAAGGGTTTGAATGGGGGAATGAATGCATCTTTCTCTTCAGGTCGGGGAAAAAACCACTTACCACTGGAGAGAACACTAATTATCCATGATAATGGTGGAGATGCAAGGAAGTTTTACTTTATTCTGAGGGACTGTTCACATTCTTGGGTTTAGAATGCCATTTTATTTTATTATAGGTCGCTTTAAAAAATCAATTATGGGCTAGAGTATGGGAATTTAAGGGCATTCTGTGAAGACTTCATGATAATGGAGTTGAGCCATTAGAAAATATGGCTAAAAGTTGTTTATCCTACTATGAGAAAGGCTCTGTGGTAGGTACTGAATGGTACACAGAAAAATATGAAACAGTTCCTGAACTTAAAGAGTTCCATCAAGCTCTGCAAGCAAAAATGACAAATTTGAAAAGATGACAATATGGAATGGAGGCCTGGTCAGTTCAGTTAAGGGCTGACCACATCTTTGAGCATACACAAAAATTCTTTCTGGAAATGTACTAAGTTCAGGCTTCCCCTCTATCTTCCCACTGCTTGTAATATATTACGAATGCCTTTGCTCAAAATTATCCACTTCTAAACGCCTCCCAAACACTTGATTTTTTTTTTCCTGTGCAAACATGGTAGGTTAGTGCTTTGAGGGATGGATAAAAAAGAAGTGGTCCTTTTGGCTTATTTAATTAGGAATAGTGTGAAGTTTAGCGGCTATAATATTATTTATTTTCATTTTGGAGGGATTTCAGAGACCATCTAGTCCAAGGGTGGGGAACCTGCAGCCTCCATGCTACATGTGACCCTCTAACTCCTCAAGTGTGGCCCTTTGACTGAATCCACTCAACTGAAGGGCTGCACTTAAGGACCTAGAGGGCCACATGTGTGCTGGAGCCCCAGGTTCCCCACCCTTGATTCTAGTCCAATCCTTTAATTTTAAAGTTGAGGAAACTGAGGTCCAAGGAGATCAAATATCTTTCCTCAGGTCATACAGGGAGTAAGTAGCAGCTTAATACTTAGGAATCACTATATATCCCATATTGTACTATTTGATAGATTCCTAACTTATTAGGCTGTGATTTAAGGCCTTTAGCAGTCTGCCCTGACTTTCCTTTCCAATTTTTCTCTCTCATATTACTCCCCTAAATAAGTTCTCTTCTCTAACTAAGCTGGTCTCACCTCATGAAGGTGATTCATTGGTGTTCCCATGCCTTCGCTTATGCCATTTTCCCCCATTCTCTGAAGAACCTCCACCTTTCTCATCCCCCCTGCCAAGTACTCAAATCTTATTCATCGTTTAAAACCCAGATCAAGTCATACCTTTTCTTTGAAACATTCCTTTGATCAAGGGATCAGGCTCAGTGGAGCTCTCTTTTCCTTTGAGTTCCAGTAACATTGATTGACTGATGAGAGTCTAGATGGTACAGTAGAAGAGCACTAGATTTAGAATCCAGAAGGATCCAGGTTTGAATCCTACCTCCAAAACTTACTAGTTGTGTGATCCTGGCCAAATCCTTGAATTCATCTGAGTCAAGCCTTTATTCTCCTACCTACAAAATGGGGATGATTACACTGATAACACCCCCTTCACAATGTTATGGTAAGGAAAGCAATTAGTTAACACTTAAGTACCTTAGAAACTGAGTTAAATCTTTGGGGTGATTTCTCTTTCTTGCTCTTGACTCAGCCACAAGTAGCTATGTTCTCCCCTCATTGTTAGGGGCCAGTGGTAGTTCCATTTAAACACTTATCAATTAGTTGTTTTTTTTTTAATGAAGGAGTGTTTACTTTAAATTATAGCAAGAACAAACATACACATATTTCCTCTAGTACCTCAGAGGCATAATCTCCCCTATATCACCTTGGTCTCTGGAAAGGGTAGGCTCAACTGAGTTCAGTTTCTATACAGCATTGGTTTCTCTAAGTTCATATCTGGATTTGGCATAATTGCCAGGAGATCCCTGAACTCAGCTTCTGCTGTGCTGGGTCTACAAGCATTGAGGCTGGGATGGCTATAAAACTCAGCCAAGGACACCAGGATATCGAAATACCTTCAGGATTCTGGAATGCTAGGAAACTTCCTGGACCTCTCAAAACTCACCACATCATCAGGAAACCACTCCTTTCACCTAGAATGGAAAAGAACAAACTCAGAGGCCAAGCACTGAGGCCTATTTCTTGGGGTCGTATGGCTGTAGCCCCAACCCCTTATACCTGATCTCTCACCACAGGCCATAAGTAGAATTACACTATAAGGAAGAGATCAACCAAAAGGGGTGATGATAGAGAGACATGGTGGAAGCTGGCTATGGCCTTTGGATGCCCCCATAGCCAGTCAAGTAATCCTCCATTCACCACATGGTTAGCAGGCAGGCAACAAACATTTATGTGTCAAAGTGCTAGAGATAGCAAATATAAGTAAGAAGAAAGATGGACTGTACGTGATGGACAATTTCAAGGCACTTTCCTTGTGTATCATCACAGATCTCCAGGAAATCAGCATACCAACCTCTTTCTATGGAGAGACATCATATGGATTACTCTGTTTATGTGCTACACACTGTTATCTTTTTACATTTGTAATTCTTGCTTGCTGAGTTTTACTTTCGGGAACTGTATCTGATCCTTTTCTGTCCCCACTCAGCACAGGGTCTTTCACAAAACATGTACTTGTTGATTGATTTATATGGTTACCATTCATTTGAACTTGGGAAAGGACTACTCAGTTGGTGGAGTGAAATCATATGTAGACAAAACAAGCCAACAAAACAGAACAAAAATAGTTAAATCCATCCAGGAAAAGGTATAATAATATGCTGTGTTAATTAGAAAATTCTTTTAATACCTGATCCCCAGGAAATTCTTTCTAGGTCTTGTTTAGTGATAGTCAATCATCCATCCATCCATTCAACAAGTATTTATTAAGTACCAACTGTGTTCAAGGCCCTGTACTGAACATTTCACAATGAAAAAAAAAAAAGGCAAGCTGAAATCTAAAATTCCCTTCAAAAGGAAAAGAACATTTTGCTCCCCAGCTAGAGGAAAGGTCTCTGGTAAAGGGAATAATAAGGCATTTGTGCTGAGATAAAAAAGGCTGATACCAAATGCTACCCTGTAAACAAGAGCATACTGGGTATCTGAGTTTGTGTGAGTGTGGCGGTTGCATGGTTGGGAAGGATATCTCTGGCAAGAGAGTTCAGAGGTCCCCAAACCAACACTGCTAACTTCACCATTTTCCCTAGGATTCATTTAGTGTTTGGCAGACTCTGATACCGAAATGAGGACTATCTAGTCTTGGTGGTATACAGAGCTGCTGCAGGGCTGTCTGCACCATATCTAAAGCACAGCTGGATTCAGGCAATTCAGCAAGACTAGCAAATCAGTTTTTTGACCTTGTCTAGGCTCTTACAGCCCAACTGTTGTTGTGAGGAAAGTGTTTTGTAAATCTTAAAGTGCCATGTGAATATGAGTTATTATTATTATTACTGTTAATATGATTATCCTCATTTTAACCGGTAGTAATGACATATAGACACAGCCAATATGGGCATCGCCTCTGTAGGAGGAAGAGCTGTAATAGTGAGACTCTAGAGTCTGGTGGTGGATTTAGCAGTCTAAGTGTACCTCTAAATATTTTATCAAAATCCCTTTGTGGTTTCATTTAAAACTTACCCTTAGTTTCTACAAGTACATACAGACACATAATACACAATTTCAGAATTGGAAGAAACCTCAGCATGCATCTAGTGCAAGCCATATCTGAACTAAAAGAGCAGAACTGATATGTGGTCCTCCTGACTTTAGTGCATACCTCCAATTGAGGGAGCCCATGACCTCCTGAGGCACTCCACTCCATTTCTGAATAGCTGTAATTGTCAGACAGTTTTTTTTCCTCCTACCAGAATTAAACAAACCTTATCAGAGCCATTACTAGCAATATTTTTACCTGAAGCAAGTGGTAGGTGAAGGGGAATGTGGAGTGTGTGGAGAGTGAGGCTTCAGGCTGTTGTAAAGGAAGTACACCTTGGATTCCTCTGAGGTTTCTAGACTCCTCTTTTGGTGGAGGAAGGAGTATCTGGACCTGGGATTTGATTACTACAGGGAGCTCCTAAGGTGAAAATTCCCTCCAGCCAATGCAGATGAACCACCACTGTCTAAAATTTATAGCATTAGACCATTGCCTGGAGCACTGATAGAGGAGAACAAAAGGGAAGGGGAAGAAAGGGAAAACAGAAGGAAAGTGGATAAACATTTATAGAACATTATGTACTAGGCACTGTTCTAGGAACTTTTCTATAGATATTATCTCATGTAATCCTCATAGCAACTCTATACTGTTATTAGCCCCATATTACAATTAAGGAAACTGAGGCAGAGATTAAGTGACTTGCCCAGGATCACACAGCTGCTTAGTGTTTGAGACCAGATTTGAACTCAGGTATTTCTGACTCCAGGTGCAGCGCTCTTACATACTATGCCACCAACTGCCTTACAATGAGATGTTAGATGACTTGTCCAAGGACACCTAACTAGTGTGTGTTAGGGGGCAAGGCTTGAACCTCCATCCTCCTAGTGCCAAGGTAGGTCCTCTATTATGCAACATTCTGCCTCTTTTGTTGGTTTAAAAAGGTTAAATAAGATCAATACTTTTCATTAGTTCAGTGAGGGCACAGAGTAATCAGGTAACAAGTGATTCTTCATTTCATTTCATTTCATTCATTCATTCTTTCATAGAGTTTTAGCGACATACCACTAGGAAAGAATCCACTGGGATAACAGAATTTGACAGTTGACCCTGTCCTCTCAAAAGAGATAACATCTATAAAGTGCTTTGCTATCTTTAAGCACTATATAAATGTTAGTGATGATGAGGAGGAAGAGGAGGAGGATGTGGGAAAGAGGTGTTGGATTTGGTGAATTGA